TCTAAAGGATGTCCATATAAAGCGCATAATGGTACGCTCCACATAAAATTGATCGCGCCTTCACCTTGCATTTGGTTTGCAAATGTCATCAAAGTATGACCAGCCTTGCACCAATTAGCCCAGTGATAGTCAGGATTGGAAACTTAATTAAGCGGCCGTGGTCGAAACTAGATTTTAATCACGACTCAAAAGCTAGGCTCGACAGGATACATGGTGCAAATAAACCAATTACGGTATAATTTTTGATGATATTAAAGTAAGCTTACATTTCCTTTGTGATGAGTATCTATATTATTAGGTGTATATTAATCACCGTATTTGCCTCTTTCTACTAATTTTCAACTTATAAATATTTATAACAAAGACCTATACTCTTCAGAGAATAATCTATCTAACCAAGTACTAAACTGATTGCGTCACCCGCCACAGTCTAATAAACCATCCAGTACATAACTTCTTCCTAATATTAAGAGATCAAATCGGTTACCAAAATCGTTTAGCATACTCGCACACACGACGACAAAGGCGTCCGCACATAATGAGCCATTAGCATATTTGCAGCATTACTGCTGGACAATTGGACGTAAATGATCCAAACGATGGACATGTAAGGCCGAATGTTTTCAACGATTTTTCCACGAGCGCTTATTGCTAGGCTGTGGCGAATTGTATTGGTTTTTATTTTGTATGAAATTAATCTTTAAATAACATCTTGTTTGAAGTATTTTTGTAAGTTGAAGCAAATATAGTGAGAGCACTATCTCAGCAACTATCAAATTAAGGATTTCATGTAGAATTTTTAGGACTTTTGGTTCGAAGATCCTCTTTTTCTTATTGATTTAGCAACCAAGCCAAAATAGAAAGAAAGAACTGATGTCTACCAGGGCATCAGAAATGTAAACATATATTCCTTTATCAATTCCACAATTGTCGCCCTTAAAGCCTCTTTCGAAAAGACGATTATCCATAGCTTTCGGCGATTTGCCACGACAAAATGAAGAGCGATCTTTTAGTCCATACTTTTAATTCAAGTGATTTGATTTGCTGTTGTTATTTCAGCAGAACTGATCAGGAACACGATCAGGCTTCAAGGAAACAGGGGTAAGCCCGTTTATTTATTTTAACGTATCGGCAGATTACGATGCCGTACTAAAATATTAACCAGAAGAGGTGATAGTGGGATTTTTACCGTGTGTGCTTATTTCATTTAACTCTCATACTGATGGGTCAATTCATTCATTCATTCATTCGTGTTTTAGAGTTTTGGTCGCTTTCTAATCACGCTTAGGTTTTCCAAAATAACGGGTTGCATCACTCATAAGTGAGTTACACATTGAAGCAGTGTTCCATTCGAGATACCTGTGTATGTCTGAGGTATTAGAGGTACAGGTTCTTGAAAAAATGTCTTAGAACATTTTTATGATGTGTTAAGGTTCCAGTTTATGACTTGAGGTTTTTGGAAACCATTCCCGATTGAACGAATCTTTCGAGAACACAAAGAAATCTATTTAGGTTTTTTCAAGGCAGAATTTGATAAGGTACAAAAAAATATCGTAGTTTGCCTGTTTCCTTCTATATAAATGAAATTTATTTATTCCACGGCAACTTTTAATTGACAAATCAATAGTTTTGCTAAAGAGAAGGTTTCCATAATTTTTATTTCATGCTCAAACGATTTCTTTCATTGAAACCAACCCTTTGAAGCCGTACCAATAAAACACAAATTGCGCATCAACTAAGCAACGAGGTACAATTTCTTTTACCTATTGAAAACGGATCCATTTTCTATTTATAGACGCAAAAACAGCGAAGAATTCAATGATTGAAAGCCTTAAACGCATACAGAAATAGTTTTCCTGTTGCTGGCTATTTTTAGACTTTAGGTTAGGCACCATAAAGTTGTATTTAGGTTTACTAATAGCGTTATGAAAATATGGAATGGAAAGTAGGTCTCTTGAGGGCTAGTCAGGGATTATGGCCGGGTTGTTTATAATAGTTATAATACTCAGTTAATGGTTTAATTGCTAAGCACGAAATTAAACAGTGATTTTTTCGTTTCGATTTTGTTTTTATTTACCAATTTTCTATTTACCGCATTGCACCCGTTTATCAGCGTCGCAAGCGTGGTGATTAAAGCTCATTTCTTCTCCGTGTGAGAAGAGCCAGAGCATAGTCTGTTGCTGACCCCTATTTTATCGACCCGAATTTCATCCCGATCTCTACAGCCGTTTTGACGCGATTTTTTATGGGGCAAGCCGGTAAACGAGCAGACAGATCATCTGGTGGCAAGCAATCAGCGTCGCTCGTGACTACCAGAACACCAGAAACGTTACAAATGCGTTACCGGCCTTTTGGAGATTAGGAATTTGAGGATTGTTGGGGATTCAGAGATTGGGGAGATGAGGGGGAGGCGGTCAATTGGGCCTCCGGTAACCTCACTCGCACGACGAAACACAACGAAAGCGTTGTTTCACGTCGGATACCTGTGAGGCCGTGGTATCGCTTCGGTCGACCTGGGCCATTCGTGCCGAAGCATGGCTCTCCCACCACCCATTCATATTATTGGTTAGATTAATAGATTGATAGTTAATACTGAATTTTATTATGTTGTTGCCGATACCGAATAAATGCGTAATTCTTTCTTTCCTTTCTTTAAACAAACTTGGCAATCCAATACATTACAATATTATTAGATACCTTTGCATTCTCAGTAGAGGTGAAAATTCGGTCAGCAGGACAATACCATTAATTTATTAGCGGGTAGAGCCTAAATGACAAGGCGAGCTTAATGAGGTAATAAATAATTGCGGCGCGTATCGACGCCATGATTGTCTGAAATATTGGCCGTTCCTATATTGGGTAGTACGGAACTATTTGTTGCACGCTTGTCGTGGCGGACGATTTTTATAACAGACTTTGTTATATTAGTTTTGGTACCTTTTTTAGGCGTTATAAATATTTGTGAGATATGAAAGTATTTATTTATTTATTTAATAATTTATGTACACACAAACAGCACAGAGGATAACACATATATAAAATAAGAGTACAAAGGTGCTACTTATTCCTGTAGGAATTTCTTCCAGTAGACCTGATACAGGAAATGTAATAAAAATATTAGACACAATGTGTAACAGAAGATAAAAGAAAAATTACGATAAGAAATGTGTATAAAAAAAATTCAACTAAATTATAACTATATTATAAATGTAAAGTAGTTGGGTTTTGGTTAAGCTTAGTGTTCTTTCTTCAGTTTTTAAGAAGTTTGTGCATGTACTAAACGTAGTGGTAATATATTGAAGCTGAGCGATAAATAATATCGATTAGTCCAGAATGGCACTTTTGAACGTCAAAAAAAAAAATTAAAAGTGAAGCTATTTGCTCATTCCAAGGTGTAGATTCCTATGGAGAAGAACGAGCAGGAAACTCCATAGGTTACTCTTTTTCAATCAGGTTACATTCACGTGTAATGTAACTTTATAGATTCGACTTTGAGCATTACATTACAATAATACCTCCCTGACTAACGAGCATTTGCGTGTAATGTAACATATTGATGTTGGATTGGGGAAGTGGAGCGCATTGATGTTACACGTTGTATCATTACAAGATGCGCATTGTAATGCTCGGTTCTTCTCCTTCAGTGATGTAATGCTCAGATCTGTAACATTAAATTACACGCGAATGCTCCCGGTGAGGGAGCACCTTTAAACGTAAAACAAACTCCTACTAAACTCTTAGGTTGTATGTCTGTTACCCTCTAACCCTCTATATTAAGGTTCCCGACTACGCCCGCCCACACTTACGCCAGCCGTGGGCGACCCCTCCACAAATGACATATTTCTTCAAATAAATATTTTTATATCATTGCTATGTTTCAATGTGCAATACTAATTCTATTTATTAAAGCCGATGAGCTTGATTTGTTTGCGTTATTTGTGTATATTGGATTTTATATTCTGTAGTCTATTTTTAAGGCTGGTTTTACTTTGAGTTACAGCAATCAAATACATATGTTTTAATGGAAATAGCTGCAATGAGCTAAGAGATAAAGCAAGATATATTACACTAGCTACTTCCGCGCGGTTTCACACGCTCTGCTCAGCTCCTATTGGCTGTAGCGTGATGTTTATAGCCTAATTTATAGCATATAGCCATCCTCGATAAATGCGCGATTAAACACAAAAAGAATTATTCAAATCAAACTTGTAGCTACCTGAGATAAGCGCCTTCAAACAAACAAAAAAAAACAAACTCTTCCGCTTTATTTAATAGTATAAGATTTAAATTAACCCTTTTTATTGCACCTGTACATTGAGTAATTGAAACTTGAGTAATTGTCCTATACAAAATGTGTTTGCATTCAAAGTTTAATCTGAATAGTGCCAATACGGGGACTCCGAGTCCGATTAAATCTACGCTTTTATATTTATCTTTGCATTCTGATGGCTTCTATTTATGTATTATTTATTTATTTATTTTATATTTTAACATATATTGGTGTGTTTTCTGTTTGTTTCTTTGTTAGCTTCAGGACAGTTGTGAAGTAAATTAATAAAAAACAACATTCTTTTTAAGCTGGGTTATTAAGCATCTTGAGCTGATTTCTAAATCAACAGATAATTCTTAACTGTACAATAATATTGCCAATTTTCAGTATGAAAGAATTGTCAAATATTCAAAGTTATTCATAAAATATAATTGGCGTTGATTATATCGGCCCGGTAACTTATTACAACTATCATAGATACTTTTCTGGTTGCTTGAGAGCGAATTTGGACCGTCATATTATAGTGAACTCTGTGGAATTAACTTTGAGGATAATAACACAACATACGTAACATTTTGTACCTTCGTTTGTGAGAATCACCTGTCTTTCTGGGGTTTTTCTTTTTAATATGATGATGAGTCACAATGAAATCTTGCTAGCGGGAAGATAGTTAATTAATATATTAATATAAGGGTATGTCATGAGTGTATGTTTATTCATTTGTCCATAGGTGGGCGGCGTGGTCGGCAATGGGATGCTTCGGCTCGCCAGGCGGCAAGAGCAGCGAAGACGATGCGAAGAAACAGAAGCGTCGCAGCGATGCCATCACCAAGCAGCTGCAGAAGGATAAGCAGGTCTGTTCACTACGTTACTGTATAATGCTGCTTATTTACATAAAGTCTTCGAGGAAAGCGCACCACTCTATTGAGAGCTTGGCTATGCTTCGGCACGGATAGGTCGGCTCAACTATATTGAGACCACGGCTTCACTGAAAACCGACGTGAAACTACCAGAGCGTTGCCTGTCTGAGTAAGGTTACCAGAGGACCCCATCCTCTGGTCCGGCCCCAATCCTCAAAGGCCCGGCAACACACTTGTTACTTTTTAATGTTGCATTCTTGGGCGGGCGAAGCCGATGGCTTCCTATCAGCTCGTTTCTCTCTCTCTATCCTATAAAAACAATCATACCTACCAATTAATCAATATTCGAATTAACGCATTTTTACATACATAAATAACATCACGCCTTTTATCCCCGAAGGGGTAGGCAGAGGTGTACATTATGCCATTGTACAATGTAACACCCGCTATTTATGTTTATGAGTCCCGTGTAATAGGGGGTGAGCCTATTGCCATATACCAGGCACAATTCCAGACTCTGTGCTACTACTGAGAATTTTTTGAAAAACCCAGCTATACTTTTACATTTAATTATTATATCATTAGGAAATTCTACCTCTAGTAATATAAAACCGTTAATTTAACAACTATTTAATAAATAATGTTTGCACTATTCCAGCTATATCGCGCGACGCATCGGCTGCTCCTGCTGGGCGCGGGCGAGTCCGGAAAGTCGACCATTGTGAAACAGATGCGCATCCTTCACGTCAACGGCTTCTCCGACAAGGAGCGCCGGGAGAAGATCGAGGACATCAAGAAGAATATTAGAGATGCTATACTTGTGAGTACCACGACAAAATTCGCGGTTGACTGATATCAATCTTATAACATAACATCACGCCTTTTATCCCCGAAGGGGTAGGCAGAGGTGCACATTACGGCACTTTAATAATGCCACTGTACAATCTAACACCCACTTTTCACTATTTATGTTATGAGTCCCATGTAATAAGGGGTGAGGTGAGCATATTGCCATATACCGGGCTCATTACCAGACTCTGTGCTATTACTGAGATTTAAAAAAAACCCAGTAATACTTTGCCCGACCCGGGAATCCAACCCGAGACCCCTTGCCCGGCAGTTGCACTTGCGGCCATTCGGCCAACGAGGCAGTCATATAGTGACTGTTTGATATCATGGCCCACGCTCTGGCGTTGCGAATGTCTACGGACAGCACTGACTTACCATCAGGTGATCCGAATGACCTATTCCATTAAACTTGGTGATTTATCTAAAACTACATGCAAGAAATTAATGTACTCTCTCTGAAAGAGGTACTATAGCATACACAATTTAAGTGTGGGAGAGCCATGCTTCGGCTTTAATTGGCCGCCTCGACCGGAGTGATACCACGACCTCACAGAAAACGGACGTGAAGCAACGCTTGCGTTGTGTGAGTAAGGTTACCGGAGCCTCAATTATCTAACCAATCCCTGAATGCCCAACAATCCTCAAGTTACTAATCCCCAAAAGGCCGGTTACGTACTTGTAACGCCTCTGGTGTTTCAGGTGTCCATGGGTGACTCCGATTGCTTACCATCAGGTGATCCGTCTGCTCGTTTACCGGCTTATCCCATAAAAACAATTATATAATATTATACCTTTTACCTCCCACACGGATAGGCAGACATTATTTCCTAAATATGTTACGAATCCTATATTAGTACTATATGTCATCTATTCATATCATATCTATTGTTCTAACTAAGGAGTAAGAATATTGTACAATGATAAAATGTTATGTATGTTATGTTATATGTATCGTATTTTTTGTTTCAGACAATCACGGGCGCTATGAGCACCCTCACGCCCCCCATACCGCTTGAAAAGCCCGAGAATAAGGCGCGCGTCGATTATATACAGGTAAAAAACAATTTCTCTATTAACCTGTCGTATGCCGGAACGTAGATATACGCGGGACACAATGTGTTTTCTATTGTGACTCATATCGATAGAGGTTAATACGATGTAATCTCAATTATTCTTTCTGTCCCTATCTATCTATCTATATAAATAAAAATTAATTTCTGTTCGTTAGTCTCGCTAAAACTCGAGAACAGCTGAACCGATTTGGCTAATTATGGTCTTGAAATGTTCGTGGAAATCCAGGGAAGGTTTAAAAAGGGAGAAAAATTGCCGTGTCAGCTAGGAAATAACTATAATCTTGATTATATGTCATGATTTTTAATAGAAAAAAAATGAAGTACAAGTTTCTTAAGTTATTTCTCGATTATTCCAGGACGTAGCGTCGCAGCCGGACTTCGACTACCCGATGGAGTTCTACGAGCACACGGAGGCGCTGTGGCACGACGCCGGCGTGCAGCGCACCTACGAGCGGAGCAACGAGTACCAACTCATCGACTGCGCCAAGTAGTACGTAGCTTACTCATGATACTCCACTACTGCACTATGGACCTCATCTACCCAAGATAATGTTTGTCATATTCACCCACTGTCCAAGCGGGTTGGAGGAAGCAGTTTAAAAGGAACAGGTTGATCAGAGAATGTTAAATGAAATGATATTTATTTCTGCAAGTAGGTTACAATGTAGCACTTTTACACGATAATGTTTTAAGTTACTAGACGAGGGCCGGCATTTCCTAACAGACTATTCTGAGAAGAAACGCCCAAACAAACTCAGAGGTCATTGAGACAATGACCTGATTGAATGATTTTAAAGTCTAGACTGTTCAATATGTACGTTGAATACTGAAAGGCTACTTAATTTTAAGGGGTGGTATTTAATACTTTAACCGTAAATTCCCTTTATTCAATCAAAATATTCGAAATTACCACCAAAAATACTGAATTGCACACTAAATTTGCTCATCAAATAAATCAATCATATATAGCTCCAGAGGTGATATTCTATATACCATTCTTATAATAATGACAATTCCTAAAATCACAACTATTATCGAGCAACGATTTATCTTACCTTGATAGCGTGTTTCATCAACAACAGTTTTTTTCTTTAGTATTTTAAAACATACATACACAACTTTACGCCTGTCTCCCATGGTGGTAGGCAGAGACTATGAAACGCCAATTGCTACGATTCCTAGTATTTTAATGTAATGAATATAATTTCGTTTCAGTTTCCTGGACCAGGTGCACATAATAAAGCAGCCGAACTACACTCCGACGGAGCAGGACATCCTCCGCTGCCGAGTGCTTACCTCCGGCATCTTTGAGACGCAGTTCGTCGTCGATAAAGTCAATTTCCAGTGAGTAATATAAAATCTCAGTAGTAGCACGGAGTCTGGAATTGTGTCCGGTATATGGCAATAGGCTCACACCCTATTACATGGGACTCATAACTAAATAGTGTAAAGTGGGTGTTACATTGTACAGTGGCATTAAGTGCTGTAATGTCCACCTCTGCCTACCCCTTCGGGGATAAAAAGCGTGATGTTATGTTAATATAACGTCTAACGCTGCCGTATTGGTCTAATGGCCAGTAGTGGTGAGAGAAAGGGGGCCTGGAGGCAACGTACTCAGTATTTTCGATTCTCATAGTAGCACGGAATCGAGTCCAGTGCCTTAAGCCAAACGCCACTTTAGCGCTTGTCTACAGAGAGAGTAGAAAACTAAATGTATGGGGATGACACTGACAAGTGTCAAGATTTACGTCAATCCCATATAATTTGGTTTTCTATTCTACAAGTAGACAAGCGCTAAATGGAATTTGGCTACAGCTGCAGTTTATGGTAATGGACTCTTCATCCTCCGATATATAAGACTTCATTCCTATACATGGCAATGCAGACATATACCGGGACATTTCCAAGCTTTGGCTAGATTATAAATTCACGAAATACAAAAAAAATCTATAATACTTTTTGACATTTTACCCTCCCGACTTTTCTAACAAAGTTCACAATTACAGCATGTTCGACGTGGGCGGTCAACGAGACGAGCGTCGCAAGTGGATCCAGTGCTTCAACGACGTGACGGCCATTATATTCGTGACGGCCTGCTCCTCGTACAACATGGTGCTGCGCGAGGATCCCACGCAGAACCGGCTACGGGAGTCACTCGACCTCTTCAAGAGCATATGGAACAATAGGTACGGGTCATAATTAATAACAGGGTAGTTGCCAGTGTATGACTATTAAAAATCGAATCAGTCCGTCATTCAGATAATGAAAAAATATTAGACACGTATTTTTATTTCCTCGTATAAAGTTACAATACTATAGATAAAATGGAGTTAAGTTTAGGAGTTGGTTGTTACATCACAAAGTGATACAAAATGTAGCACGTTGTGACGGCACACGATATTTCAAATTAATATGTCGCCGAAGGTATTTAATTTTGTAAGAAAAGCAAAAATACGTGCTTAATGTTTTAAAATAAAGACATTAAAAATTTAGGAAACTACCCTATTCACCAGCCAGCAGTGGACTGTCGAAATATTATTAAAAACGTATGAATATCTTTTAATTTTAAACAGCTATCATTGTATCCAACATTTTATGGCCGATATTGAGAAGTCAATCGTCTTCAATATGAAACATGAAAACATTTGACAATTTTGAGAACCTTACGAAAGAATAAGACTAAATATTGTATGAAAATAAGACAATAGTACCATATAGTAAGTTTTGTTATTGTGTTTAAACCTGTTGTTGTGCCTACCTACTAAAACAATATATTTGTACGTATTCCAGATGGCTGCGCACGATCTCAGTGATCCTGTTCCTGAACAAGCAGGACCTGCTGGCGGAGAAGGTGCTGGCGGGCAAGTCTCGGCTCGAGGAATACTTCGCGGACTTCGCGCGATATACCACGCCGCCCGACGCGGTGCCCGACCCCAGGGACCATCCCGACGTCGCGCGCGCCAAGTACTTCATACGGGACGAGTTCCTTGTTAGTATACCATCCTACTTTCATTGATTTTATTACCTTCCCTGGACTTCTACAAATAGTTCAAGACCAGAATTAACCAAATCGATCCAGATGTTTACAAGTTTTAACAAGATTAACGAACACAAGGTTTCATCCGGTGCTTATATAGCCTTATCGCCTTCTCCGGTATATGGACTATCCAATGCTTGACTGCACGGTTGGTGCGGTGGCTGGGCAACCGGCTACCGTGCAACGTGTCGCGGGTTCGATTCCCGCACGGAACAAAACTTTGTGTGATCCACAAATTGTTGTTTCGGGTCTGGGTGTCATTGTGTATGTGAACTTTATGTTTGTAAACGCACCCTTTCCTAATGTGGGGAAACGTTTAAAAAAAAAATGCATAAAAAATATACTCAACTAGAACCAGTAGTTACGAAGATTTCGCGTTCACATAAACAAAAGCCCCCCTCTCTCACACGCCTAACCAAGGGCAGAAGAGTAGTAACCCGCTAGGTCGTCCGCGGCATCACTCCTACTGAGTCCCATCTGTTCTGATAGCTCGTTGAGTATGCACGGGTCTGGTTCTATTTATTTATTTATTTTTTTATTTATTTAACACTTTATGTACAACTGTATACAATGGCGGACTTAATGCCGAATGGCATTCTCTACCAGCCAACCATAAGGTGATGCAGAGAAGTGTTACAGTAGGTTTTAAAAGAAGTTTGCATCTATCGAAAAAAATAAAAACGAGGGTGATAAATGTACGTTCTAGTCTTGTCGGGCGACCCTTGACACCGAGAACCATCTCTTGCGACGTAACCTGGGATGGTGACGAATGATTGCTGTTCTAGAGTATATTTAAACCCCGTATATTGTACTAGCGACCCGCCCCGGCTTCGCACGGGTGCAATATGCATGTATTATACATACAAACCTTCCTTAAGAATCACTCTATCTATTAAAAAAAACCGCATCAAAATCCGTTGCGTAGTTTTAAAGATCTAAGCATACATACGGACATACAGCGAAAGCGACTTTGTTTTATACTATGTATTGAT